TCAATAGATACACAGGAGCACAGAACTACAGCAAGAAAGGAAAGAGGTTCATTTCCTCTTAAAGTAGCCTATGGAAGTTCTTGCACAGTGCTGCTCCCAGCCCAGGAGATCTCTCATGGATCTACATGATTTTGATTTTTCCTAATGATTTAAAGCATATTTTCAAGAAGACTCTGCCTGCCTAGGACTTCATTATGATCTAAATTTAATCTAATGATCTAATTCCCTAAAGTTACTATTCATCTCAGCTTTTATTTCTCTGATTCCAATAAAGATTCTATGTTTTTTCCTTAACTAGAAAAATATGGGAGAAACAAATGGTCCACCATTGCATATGGGAGATCCATTTAGCCATGCAGAACGGGTAAAAATTCCTAAAAATTTCCTACTCACAAACTCTGCAATAATTTCTCACATGTGCAAAGAACTGTAAAGCAGTGGGTTGGGAAACAGGATGGGATGGGAAAAGGGACAGGGATGATGACACAAGAAAAAAGAACCACCTTCATCTGTAATGCACTAATAAGTTGTCAATAAATTATTTCCTGATCACTGAAATAATGGTTTCTAAATGGTGTGGGAATTAATTTAATTCTGCAGCAATTTGTGCTTTCACTTCATTCCTCAGAGACCTGGTCACTACTTTACTCTTGCAGTTACTTTTTCCTGGAGCTGCAGTCTGCAGTGACTAAAAGCTCAGGCAAGCCTTACAAAAGATGCAGAACTCTTGCCTTAAGTCTGCATTATGACTAATTCAATTGCTCACAACTTTATCTGTTTCCTTAGGAAGCAAACAGCTCACGGTTTATTGCACCACTCTGCCAAGAAGCAGACAGATTAAGTCTTCCTCACTTCATTTAAAAATTTAGGCCTTTATTAAGGGAAAAAATTATCAGGCTACAGAAGGAAAGTTTGCCTTTTGAGGAAAAGGAGTTCCATTTATTTCCAATAGGTAATTTTTCCAAATTCATAGACCCCTGTATGACCTATTGGAATGTTTGAGTAGAGACATAGACACAATCTGAAAAGAAAAAGAAATAAAAAAAGAAGAGAGAGGGAAAAAAAGAGAAGATTGCAAAAGGAAAAAAGATATAGGTGAAAAATAGGGGGGAAAAACAGAAAGAAAAAAAAAGCAGGAAAAAAAAGAGGAGGAGAAAAAGACATCACCTTCAAAACTCTCCATGTATAAGCTGCTCATCAGGGAATTCATGGAGAACTGGCACTGTCCACACACGGAGAGAGCACAGCAATGAAGGGCATGGTGCAAGACCACCAGGCATAGATCTCTTCCTCTCAATTTTCCAAGGACTCCACATCAGGACAGCTGTCATTCAGAGAATGCTCATTCACCTCCTTCCTGTCACTGCTCACTGCTGGAGTGACCTGCCAGGCAGGTGTCACTGCTGTGTCAGGCACAGTCGTGCTCCCTTCCCTCTGCCTGACCTGGCTCACTAGCAGTTGTTTCTGGTGGTATTTATGAGACACGGATGCCCTTCACACTCATTTCAAGAAGAAGCCTGCAGGTACTGCCACATCTATTGCTCCCCTGACCTACTTTTAGACACATGGTGTTATTTAACCCAGGACTTTTTTCTCTTCTGTTGACAGGTGCCTAGACAACGCAATCCTGGAACAGGAATGGAGTTTGTTTCTAGGCATAGGTCCAGCACTAATAGTTACTGATTTGAGCTTCCTTTGGCTACATCTGTCCATAGGCTGTAAACTTATGTTTGATGACATTATTGTTTTGTTCACTTGATAATTACTCAGTATGAGTTTCCCAGGCATACGTGACTTCCCTGCTTGCACAGTCTAGGAACTGAAGAAGTTTTGTCTTTCCAGCAAGACTTCTCTGCCTTCAGGGGAAATACAAGCCAACACCATCTACCTGCAGATGTTTTGATATGAAAACCTTTGTGAGTTTTGAATACATGGACACAAGTGATGCTAAAAAGCATTGTACCCGGAAACAGATAACCAACAGGGAATTCTCTGTATCCAAATTGAAAGGAGTTTGGAATTCAAATCCTTTGTGCTAAAATTGGTGGGTTTAGAGTTTCAGAACTGGGAAATTAATCATGGCACAGATTATTGGACCCAAACCACATCATTTACCAGACTGGATACACCTGAAGCTTGAGCCTGGGGCCTAAGCAGCCTGAGAGACAGAGGTGCAAAATGCTCAGTGCATCAAGCAGGACTATATACTTCAGAAAAAACTTTACTGGCACTAAACTTCCTGATATCTAGTTCAATCAACACAGAGAAAAATGACAGAGTTAAAGCATTTACGTTCTAGTGAAGTTAAAAAAAATACACATTCAAGCGACTGATTGCCTGAGTCTTATTCTATCAGAGCTTTTCTTTCTCTTTTCCAATGAAGGTCCCAAGTAAATTACAACAGACTCGAAACTCCGGAAACTCCAGAAAAAATTTTCTGGCAATCCAAGAGGTTTGGTTGAGTTATTCCAGCTTTACCCTGCTTGTTTAATCAGCAGAAGAATTTGGCCCTTCTTAAGAAAATATAAGAAAGCTGAAATAGGTTGAGCTTGCAAGTTGGAACAGATAAGGAAATAACAGAAATGACAGCAAGTCCAACCCCACTTAGTGTCTCCATGAATTTTGGAGTTCTCAAACAGGTTATATAACTTCATGTCAAGTAAAATATCTGATAAGAAAATAAATAAGAAAAAAAGTATGAAATTTGTGTTTGATTCTGCTTTAACTTTGACTGCTGTAAATCTACTCCAGCCAAAAATCTGACATGTGTGACATAATACAGGAGAGTGTCCTGGAAAAACCTACACGTAACTCTTATAAATAAATAATGTACTTCAACATACTGACAAGGAAAAAAAATGAAATAAAAACTAACTGGAGTATATGCTAATCTGCACTTAGGAAAGTTCTTTCACTCCAGAATATTTCATGTTCCCAACACTCAAGACACTGTGAAATGAAAATATTCCCTTTTCTTAGCCTTAGAAACATTTCCTAAATATTTACCTGTGACATAGTCCATATAATTTTGTCTTTGCTTTATAAGAACAAATATAATACCATTTACTGATTGGATGGATGACAAAGAAAAAACAACAATTACCCAAAAATCCCTAAGGGGGAGCATAAGTTTTTAAGTATTTATTTCATTACAACATAAGTTGGAGTACATAAAATGCTTTACCTATATATACGTTAAAAATGAAACTGTTAATACATCAGTTACACATATAATTCACCTACAGTGTGAACAGTGTCTAAAGCATTTGCATTAGTTAATCTGTGAAAGTGGTAGCATTGACATTGTTATTTCATCATTTCACAAATTTATCCAAGGTTTATCCACTAAGGCTTAAAAGCGAAGCAAGAGACTCCTGCAAAAGGTAGCTTATGTGGTGGTTTATTGTGGTGGTTTGAAAAGCATTGCAGGTGTAAAATTATAAAACTATTATAAGACTACCAATATCATTGGTAGAAACTCAGTCTGTTTAAGAAATATTTGGAAAAGAACCTGGCCCTACAGTCACCACTGTCTCAAGTACCAATTCCAGTTTCCCGTCCCTGCTATTTGTTTGTTTCAACCAGATATACAGTAGATACTTTTGACTCTGAATTCATCTCTTCCCTCCTATCCCACTGTCTCATGGTCCCATTTCTTCCCATTGAGTTATTTATGAGTTAGACAGTCTCCAAAATAGCCTGCTGTTGTGGTTTAATGTCAGCTGGCAGTTCAGCCCCACGCAGCCACTCACTCATTCCTCTCAGTAGTTTGGGGGAGAGAATCAGAAGGGGGAAAATGAGAAAGCTCATGGGTTGAGATAAAGACAGTTTAATAGGTAAAGCAAAAGCTGCACCCACAAGCAAAGCAAAACAAGGAATTAATTCACTGTTTCCTATGGGCAGGCAGGTGTTCAGCCATCCCCAGGAAAGCAGAGCTTCAGCTCCATAGCTCCATAGCGATGACTTAGGAAGACAAACACCATCACTCGGAATGTCCCCCAGTTCTTTCTTCTTTCCCCAACTTCATATGCTGAGCATGACAACATATGGCCTGGGATATCCCTTTGGTCAGTTGCAATCAGATGTCCCAGATGTGTCCCCTCACAACACCTTGTGTACCACCAGTCTCCTCACTGGTGGGGTGGGGCGAGGAGCAAAAAAGGCCTTGATTCTGTGAGCACTGCCCAGCAATAACAAAAACACCTCTGTATTATCAACCCTGTTTTCAGCACAAATCCAAAACACAGCCCCATAACAGCTATTGTGAGGAAAATTAACTACCCCAGCCAAAACCAGCAATCCTGCTGATTCTTAAAAGCAATGGGTTCATTCCAGCAGCTCTCAGCATTCAACAGGCCAAAGTAAATGAAAAGTGTCTGATTATATGTTCTGAATGCAAAATTTTACTGAGCTTGTGTGTCAATCTCTGCTTTTAGTAGCAATAATGCAGAGTCAGAATAGTTACGGTAATCTAGTAAATGTGTGAAACTATCACAAATTTGCATTATATTATCTTGGAGTAGGAGTTGAGGCAGCAAACATGTAAAAATGTACTTTGCTACAACAGAACTCGGACTCATACTGATAATAGCCATACAGAACAGCCATACTGTTCTGTTACACCCAGTGCAAATCTGGTGCACGGAACAATAGCAGACAAAAAAAAATTAATAAAATGCTTGTTACTACAACTGCTCAACAGTATCACCATTTCCTCTTGTGCTTTCTTAAGTTTCCCAGGAGCAACGCTAAAGGGGAAAAAAAAAAGCCCAAAGATACGATTCAGTCTAAATCTTCTGGGTTCATTCACATAGAAAACACTGCACATCAATCCAGACACAAAGCACCAGCACTGCTGTTAAGCTTTGTGATAATGAAGGGTAACACATCTATGGAGCAGTCAATGGAATGCACACTGTAAATCAGGAAAAGCAATAGCCACTCATGAACAGTGGTAATTGGGATACAACACTGAGAGCCAATCAAACAGCACAGGAGAGTTACGGCTTTCATGTGAATAATTTATTCTTTTATCAATTAAATTTTACCAGGTACTTATTTACAAAGAAACTTTTTGTGGACAGAATTTACATCAGCTACTGCACAATTTTATTCATTACTAGGATATGATTAGCATCCTTCCCATGTTGCTTGACAGTGTTGGTTTTGATCAAATAGGGTTATTCTTTTGCCAATTATTTGTTTGGTTTAGTTTCCAAGTGTGAACAGAATTTGAACACATGCCTTTGCTACAATTAAGGATTTCTTTTTACAGAACTAGTTAATAGATGGAAACGGTAAGGTTCCATCTGTTATTAGCATTTCTTTATTGAAGTTGGGATTTAGTTTTAGATTCAACGAAGGCTTTAGGCATTTCCATGTTAGGCACTACAATGCCTCTTTACCGAGACGGCACCCCTGAGAAGAATTCGAATTACCTGCTTGGCCTCCCGGTACAGTGCATGGAGTAGCTCACCTTGGACTGGTAACCCAAAACACAGAGCCTGTCTGCAAAAGCTTTCCAAAGAAAACTTGCCCAATTGTACAAACATTTACTACATCTGTCCTGATTTACCCATCCAGGAGCTGGAGCCTGGAATTTACCCAGAACTCAATGTGGAGGAGCCTGTGTGTGCTTTTGGAGGATTTGCAAGAAGCTCTCCCCTGAAAAAGAACCCAGGAAGTGGTCCCAATACAGTTCTTCTCAACAGTCATCTAGATCTGAAAATGCACACACGTGCGCGCGCACACACGTGAACTGCAAGGCCTCACTTCAGCCCTTATTCAGCTTAAGGGAATTCAAGTCTAAATCCTCAAGCAGATGACCTTGAAAACAGGAGTACTCTAGGAAGGAAAAATTATTGCCTAAAAAATTAGAGCAGAAAAATTATCTCCTGCATGTCCCACTAAAATGGGAGGACTGGAAGATTCATGGAGAAGAAAGATGACAGAGTAAACTATGTCTCTCTGGCTAGTCTCCAATTTATCAGTGAGGATGAGGGTTTGAATTTACCTACCTTGATAATTTGTGAGATTTTTTAGCCAATTAACATACAATGCAAAATGCATAAACATTTAGAGATCAGGGACTAGCTCCAAGAGGTCCTTTAGTCCATTGACAATGAGGCAGTGGAAGATGTGGGTTGAACGTTTGCAGGCTAAGAAAGCACACACAGATCTCCATGTTCCCATGCAAACAGAGTAGCCTTCAGGCGACTCTAGATAAAACAGCTTTGTCTTTAAAGCAAAACATATGCAACTTGAGGGTGGCCTGGCCCTTTAATCTGTACCATAAAACCCTATTAGATCAGTGGCTTCTGGGTATCCCATCATCTAGTTTCAAAGGAGTTGAGGTGGTCCTTAGGTAGGTGCGGAACTGCTCCAAGGTGGGCAGTTCTGAGTGAGTGGAGGAGAACTGCTCAGCACCTCTACATGTCAAAGGGGTAGTTGTGGCTAGGTTTAAATTAAACTGAAGAGTTCTGGGATGATAATTTTGGTCTTCAAATGCCTGAAGATTACCTAAATTCTGGTTTTTGTGCCCAAGTTTGGTGGGGTTGTTTGGGTGAAACTATAATTGGGGGAAAAAACAACTCTCAGTAAATCTGCCTAAGGCTTACCAGGGAGGAAACAGAGGCCACAGAGTAGGAAATCTGGCTAGAAACATGCCTCTGTTGTCAATCATCAGGCTGTGACTATGCAGAGTGTACAAAGGAAACAGGTTTGATAGACAGCTGCTAATGAAGCCCAGACTGCCTCCACTGACACTGTGTAAACAGTGAAAGCAGGTAAGCACTTGATTCAACCCTTTCTAAAAATAGGAGCTAGCAAAAATACAGATCACTGCAGGTTCATTGAATGCTTAGTACTGTAGAACTTATGTCCAAATGTATTTCTTCACAGTGTACAGCAACAAATACTGGAAGAAAGGATATGGTTCACTCTTTCACGAAAGTTTGCAGCTATTTTCACAGCTTAAATCATGGAGACTTCCCAAAACTCGTTTAAAAGCATTTTCATGCATTAGCAGGAATGAAAGTGCTTAATTAATGCTTAATTAATAGGAATGCAAAAGCTGGTTTAATGGCTCGTTATGCTGTAGTATAGGAACTATACTACGTAATACTTTGAACTATGAAATTGTATTGTATTGCAAGATAAAACAGACATTTCCTTGTGTGTGTTCCTGGTGACTCTACTATTTCAAAATCTGGCCTAGCACTTATGCTAAGTTTAAGTATGCACCTAAGTGTTTCACTACCCAGCTTGAAATACTTTCTATAGTTAACATAAAAATTATGCCGAAGGCAAACACATACTTTTTCTTTCCTGCTCAAGCTACAATGCTGTAATTTAATTTAGAGTCAACATTTCCAAGGATTCTTGTCTGAGAATTAAATCCAACACTCCATGAATGGTATTAAATTCCATGGCACCAACCTGTACTGAGGCTAAGATAAACATCACACTCTGCAGGCCTACAGCTCCTGCCCGGCTGATGCTTTAATTAGTTCACTAGGGAATAGGCTCACTAGGCTAAGAACTTCTAGGACTGGACCACTGTTTTCTATAGCATGGCTAACCAGATCAACTGTGTTAAAACCCTGTGCAAGACAGAAGGAGAAAAGAAAAAAAAATTAAGTGAACAAAAGAAGTATCTACAAACCTCACTACTCTCTTTTGTAAAGATGGTGTCTCTTAGGACAGAGCCTGCTGTCTTCCTTTGGAACTAGCAATTACATATAAGAATGCTAAAGTCCTATTTAACAAAAACATCTTAATAAAACATAAAAAAATCTGCTTTCTTTGATGTAAGGTCCCTATGTCTTTCTAAAATATGAATCTATACAAGAACTTTGAGTAAAAACAATTCTCTTCCACAGTCCACGCCAGTTCCACACTGAGTTACAGTGATGTACTAGCAAAAACACAAGTTCCTTTTTTCAGAAAAGGTTTCTCAGTGATTTACCATAAAGCTAAAACATTTGCCTTGCCTGCTGATTTTTTTGCAATATAAAATGTATAAAATAAATGCATGTGTCCTTTTCAATATAGTCTGTCTATGTAGACAATTTACTCTTTTCCAGTTCTGAGTAACATGACAACTTTCCACAGGCAAGAAGGAGTTTTGTATGGTTTTGTCTCATTAGGATGCTGCTCCACAAATAGCTCTCTTGGGAAGCTTAGAATCACAATGACGGCGTATGCTATCAGCACGTACTGCATTTAACAAGGACTTATTGATTACAATAATCATGAGATCAAAATAAATAAAGCAGTCTCTCAATCAAAAGATAGGGAGGTAACATCATGCTAGTGCACAATATAATCGACATGTGTTGCGCATTCCTATTTTCCATGTCCTCCTTCGATGGTCTCGAACCAAGCTGGAAAAGCCTCTTGCCACAGGATACTGAACATACAGTGAAACATTTAAGCTGTTTACAGTCAGTTTCAAAGAACTTACATTTGGTTTAGGTTAACCTTCCTTGACCTGCAGTTAATTAAAGAGCAGATGAAGTACAAAGTTTTTCCCCAGCTCTAGTGGCATACATGGTCACATCAACTGGCTGCAGTCTGAACAGCTTCAGTTCATTTTTGTTATAATTTAAAATCTCTGATTAAAAAACAGTAATAAAACAATGTCTTTTTATATAGAAACCGTTGCCTTTTTCAAATAAAGAACATATCAACATTTCATATGTGCTATAATATGCCACATTTTAAAAAGGTAACTTGACTTTTTTTTTTTTTGTATTCCAAGTATAACATGTGGCACTCATTTTAGTTACACAAAACTTTAAGTCTGGTATATGTTAAATCATCTGTGGTTGAAATTCCCGGGACCACACAGTGCCACATCTTCCTTAAACCATCCATTGCACCACAAATGAAAGGCTGTGATGGAGATGTTCTTCCTATACTTTTTTGACACAGGAAATAGCTGGTTTAACATACAAACAAATTCAGCTAAACTATGTTTATCCCTCAGTATCATCCTAGACGGAAAAAACCCAAATAGTAGAAAAGGCTCCAACCCAGACTGCAACTATGCATAAACACACAACCAACACTAATGTCCCATTATGACACTGTTGTCAGGAATATTTTAGATATCCAGGTGTAAAAACGTTTTTCTCAGATTGGGAATTGGCACAAACATAATCCAGAGATTATCCAATATAGCAGCTTTTACTTTCATGTGCTTGGTTTTTCACACAAAGCACAGCAAACACGAGAAGAGTTAAAACCAGCTCAATATCCTGGGAGCAGAGAGGAGGAAAGGGGGAGCCCCTCTTCTCTGCAGACTCACCAGGGGGAATCCCCTCTGTAGGTGGGAGTTTGTGGGTTTCCCACAGCTGCAACCCAGCTCCCCTCTCAGGAAGCCAGAGCCAGGCTGACCATCTCACAGTGGGAGGGAGCCCTCCTGGTCCCCTGCTTTGTCCAGCCTCTCAGGCAGGGTAAGCACAAAGGGCAGGAGAACACCCTTGACATCCAAGGGAGCTTTAAGAAGCTCCCCGTCAAAAGTGCCCTTGAGCCCACCATCCGCTTCCACCTCGCCGTCCTGGGCTAGGCTGAAGCGAAGGGTGCCGGTCCGGTTGACGCAGTAGATGGTGTTGCCCAAGGGGGCACAGCGGAAGGGCTGGATGGGGCTGCCGCTGGGCCGCAGGCTGGCACACTGGCTCCAGCACTTGGCCACTGTGTTGTACCGGAAAACTTCGACACCACCAGCGGCCCCACCACCTGGGCCCGGCTCCCCACCACGGCTACTGCTCACATCGAAGCGGTAGATGAAGCTCTTGAAGGCCACCATGTCCGCTGAGCGCCGGCGGCTGCTGTTGTAAGGGCACTCCTGCCACTCGTCACGCTTGGGGTCATATTTGAGCAGGCGGTAGAAGAGGGAGCCTCCTGACACATAGATCTCCCCATTGCAAGTGGTGGCCTCATGAGCCACAGCGAAGGCACCCTTGGGCAGAGGTGCCACAGGGCTCCAGCGGTCAGCCCGTGGGTCGTACCTCTCCACAGTGAAGAGGCACTCACCCCCCACAGCATACAGGTAACCATCCAAGGCCAGCAGCTTGAGCTGCGAGCGGGGCTGGGCCAGCGGCCGCACCTGGCTCCAGGTGTCAGTGAGGGGATTATAGCAGAAGACCTTGTCGGAAAGGCGGGCCCTGGGCTCGCTGCCCACCGGCCCTGTCACGATGCCCCCTGCTAGGAAGAGGTAGTTGTGGAGGACACACATGGCACAGCCCTTGGCATTGGCTTCCTCGGGCAGGCGCGTCAGCACCCTCCACTCGCCGCTGGCCTCCTGGTAGCAGTGGATGAGGGAGCCACTCTCCTCCAGGGACACCACGGAGGAGGGGCTTTGCGGCCGGCTGCTTTCGCGGCTCTGTGGCCGGCTGCCGCCACCCGGCCGCTCGAAGGCATCGCTGACCTCGGCCACCAGCAGGCAGGGCCGGCCGGCCTCCATGCGCCGCTGCAGGATGAGGTCCCGCTCAGTGCCGCTGAGGCGGCCATACACGCTGGGCTCCCGCAGCACCTCCAGGTAATGGTCGCTCATGAAGCGGTAGGCAGCCTCCCGTAGCTCCGCCAGCCGCTGCTTCTTGGCCAGGCAAAGGAGCTGGTAGCAGTTGCCAAGGCAGAGCTGGGCGCGCATGGCCTCGGCGGCACAGTGCAGGGCACACGGCATCTGCAGGACGCGGGCGCCGCTCACCACCTCCGCCAGGTTGTCGTGCCGCACCTCTCCCATGCGGGCCGTGTACACGTAGTCGATGAGAAGCCGCAGCGCCCCGTAGCTCACCCCCTTCACCCGCAGGACGTCCCGGGAGGCGCGGGCACGAAAGTAGTCACTCTTGGCCGCCAGCACCGCCTTGTGCGCCCGAATGCGACGCCCCGACACCTCGATCACAAGGTCGGGCTCCTCCGCCGGCCGGTCCCGCGGCCCCACCACCTCCTCATCGTCCTCCTCCGGCTGGCAGGCGGCGTTGTTGATCTCCCACTGGCTCTGTACCACCCGGCCGCCGGCCGCGGGCGGCTGCGGCTCGGCGGCGGCAGCGCTGAAGCAGAGGGAGGAGCTGAAGCCGCAGGGGGCGGCCGGGGTGGGCGGCGGCGGCGGCGGGGGGGCGCCGTTCGCGGCCCCGCTCTCCTCCTCCGGGGCCGCGCTGCCCTCCAGGGAGCCCTCCATGGAGCCGCGCTACCTTTGGCGGCGCCGCGCCGAGCCTGTGCGGAGCGCTGCCGGCCGCGGCGGGGCGGCCATCACCTGCGGGGGACACACGACAGCACTCAGCATCCGTGCTTGCCTCCGCTCACCCTCCTCCCCTTTCCCCCCGCTTCTCCGGCTTAATATTGGGAGCCGCTGCTCTCGCAGGCGGGGCTGTCTCTGGTTTCCGGGACTAAACCTCTGCTTCTGCTTTCCCCGCGGGATCCACCCTGCGGCTCTGCCGCCTCCCTCTGCCTGGGGCTAACTGCGGTAGCTCAGCCCCCGAAAACCTGAGCTCTCTTGGTGGGACGGGGGGTCGCCCCGACGAACACTACAACAACCTGAAAAGCAATTTTGTTTTTCCTGTAGCTGTGCAAAAACTTTAAGCAGTTTGCAGGCACTGTATCCTTTTCTTGACAGCTGGTCCCTACTCTGTGCTGGGTGATGAGCAAAAATGTCCTTAAAAGGCAGATACTCAGGAGTACTATCACAATGTATTCACCTTGTGCAACTATTTCAGTGGAAGGCTGAGGCTGCAATTGATTCTGGAAGGCGACTAGTCAAGTTTGTCTTCGCATGACCTTTGTGAAGTATTCTTCATATCACTGCTCCTTATATGCATTCCCTCTGTTTAAAAGAAAGTGTAAAAGGTGATTAGTTTTAAAATCGATACATTCTCTGTTCACGCAGAAGTTTGGGACTACTAGAGCAGTGCTTCCTTTAATAGGATATCTAGAGTATCTCAAAGGGACTATAAGTATGGTAATAATTCTGTTTACAAAAGAAAGGATTTTTTCTGTTGTTAGGACAAGCAATTTCACACTTATGTAGCAGCATATGTAGCTGTAATGCATTAGCAAGGTGTAAATCGGATTTCTTAAGTCTGAAAGATTTATAGCTTCTGTTAATAAAAAGCAGAAACAAGCAAAAAAATCACAATAGATAATTAGAACGTGAAGTCTCTTCTGGGAAACGGCAGGCTACAGGGCATGGCTGCAAGTAGGTTAGTCCCCATCAGCACAATCACCACCCAGTGATTTCACAAATGTAGTTTTTAGAATTTAAAAAAGTGCCATTTGTTTGCCTCATGTTTGTTTATGAATTTCCCAGGCTCGTTTTAGGTTTTGATGAATGACACATGAAAATTGTCCAAATGTACTTAATTTCATTTAATAAGTATCTGCAGCTCTGATTCTATGTTTAAGGAAGTTATTATTTCCATTCAAATCCCTGCTAGCAGTTTTTTCACAGTTCTCAAGGAACACTAATTTCTATGTAAAATATGCATTGTGACTTTCTTTCAGCAGAGATGATTCATTTACCTTATTAAATTAATATTAGGAAAATCTAACTTTCTGATTTTTTTTTTAATTACTGGAAGCATAATTGGTAAGTGACATTGTCTGGAAACCCCTGACATGTACATGAAACCTAGAAGCCCGTACTCGCACATGCATTCATGGCTAGGCTTCGTGAACGAAGATTAAGGAAGGCTCTATCTACATTTATTACAGGCACGCCGGTGGCTAATGAGGCCAATACGAGACAGACATGTCCAATTGCAAAAGGCACAGCAGAAAGACTCCTTAGATGGTATATTCCGAAAGACACGGTTCTTTCTGCATTGTCTTTTCTCCTCGAGAGTGATCCTGCGGGCGTTACTCGCACATGCAAACTATACCTAAATGGTATTATCAGTCTTCTCTTATGGGTTTTTATTTTGTGGACTTTCCCTGTGAAGTGCTTTCTACATTTGATCACATTCAGTTAGACTGAATCAATGCTGATGTTTGATTTCTGGGCACTTGAGACTTTGAGACCATAACAAGGTTTCAGTAGCATTTGAATATTCCTTACCAGAATGAGCAGATTTCACAAACTTTGTATTCCTCATCTTGGTGTTAAAAAATCTGGCACTTAGGAACTTTTTACGACATTGTATGAACTTCGGATAGTCTTACTGGCAAATTTCCTGCGGTCTAGACCCAAACTCTGTAGGTCAGGTTTTACTGAGTTTTCTATAGCTTTAAATAGACAATGAGAAATGCAGTGATCTGTGTGTACACTTGGTGTGTCTGTGGAAGATGTATAGATTCATTATTAACTTTAACTGGGCAGCATCCCTGTTGATGTGATTGTTTGTCACTGAGCCTTCACAGTACTGAATTCACTATGTAACCATGTTTTATGCCATTTTATTATGCCGTAGACACTGAGATTAATCTTCTTTTTGCTCCAGGCCTTCAGAGCCCTGATAATCAGCTTTCTTCAAGAGCAACAACTGTAACTGACACTGGTGAAATGACAAAGGTCCAGTAGAGGTGGCTAGGAAAGCACCAGGAATGCCAAGCTCAGATGTACAGTTATATTAAGAAAATTGCTACAATGTGACACAAGTAAGTAATTAAAACATTTTGTGTCTCCTCTGCTCTTTCTTGGGCTTAGTTCCCCAATATTTAATCCTTATCTTGATACAGTTCTGGATAGCTTGAACTCCACAATCATGAACATTCAGTGCATTCTAATATACCTTCCCCCATTGCTCACAATATTATGCCCTTTCCTGAAACACCTCACTTTTGACATCACTTTCACTTCTGTTCTCCCACTACAAGAAGGAATGAGTAGCTTCAGATAGTTTCAAACTCTCAGTCTACAGCTTGATTTTGCAAGTGAAATTATAAAGGAAGAATGAAAGAGAATGCCACCAAAAATTAAAAGTGTGGGTGACTAAATGTGAGAAGTCAAAACCAGTAACTGTAATACTAATAATATCTCTGTATGGTGAGATGTATTTCCTGCATTATGTCTCAAAAGAAAATCATCATTTAGAATATTCAAAGTTGTTAAAACAGCAATCAGAAAAAAGTGATCTTTTCAATTTTCTCAGCTAATGAAAAAAGAAAAAAGAAAGGGTGACATCCTCCTAAACACAGTTATCATACCTTTCCTCATATTCAGACATCTGCTTGGCTTAGAAGTTTGACTTGACACTGAAGTGTTATTGAGATAGAAGCTGCCAGCCACTGCAGTCGTAACAAACACGTATATTAGCATTCTCCTGAGGAATCACAAGGAGAAAGAAGGATGATGGTATGGCTTCCTAATGGCAAGCAGCAGAATTCTGAAGAAAATGACCTGCTGGTATATCTAAAGCTAACCACCAAGAATATGTTTAATTTTATGCTGAGCATGAACAGGACTTCAGTCAAAGTATCACATGCAATTAAGGCAACAAGGAACTCTACAGGGAAGCTGAAGATTTAGAAAAGCTGAAAAGAGGGTTCGGAGGACTTTTGTCAACAACAGCAATGACCGCTCCAGCAATCTCAGCACCTTTGTCTATCTGAAAACAAAATATAGGCATTACACAAAGATGAAGGTGAAAAAACAATTCAGAGAAGTTGTGGAACCTTCCCATTATTGAGCAACTTGCCTGATCTGAGTTAAAAGGTTGTAGATTTAGTATAAAACAGGAAGATGCTGAAAGGGGCTGGTGGAAATACAATACTGAACTACTTCTCCATTCTTTTTTTATCTACAGTGATCAAAGAGTTGTACTGCTGTTCTAACAACACAGAACATTCAAAAGTTACAGAATCGCAGAAGATACTTGATAGCTGTGCTGATTCAGAAGAATCTGACCCCCTAACGAACTCATTCAGCTTCAAACAAACTTAGTTTTAGCACTTTTTTCAAAACTCAGAAACAGGATAGGTAGTGGAAAAGGAAGCAAGCTGTTTACAGGACACGGTATCTGTGGCCTAATGTCACTTTTTATACTGGGGACTTTTAAGTTAGAAGCTGAATTACTGTTTTCATTATCATGGGCTTGGTCTAGGGATGATGTAATGTTAATGGACAGAGGAGCTGCCAACAAACATGAACTGTATTTACAGACTTGGCAATGACACAATTACAATATCCTGGATGTGTGGCCCCAACCTCAGATGCTGTGAGACATTGCTCAAGTAACAGCACAGATAAGAAGGCGCAGTTTTTCTGACAGAGAAACTGTAATGAAGAGCTGCAGGTAAAGTTTCCTGCATTCATTTGGCAGTCCTTCTGATAAAATCCAATTAAATGCTTGTATTGCATTGTTCTCTATTTACTTTTTTTTGTGCAGTGCCAATAGCCTTTGACCCAAACCCTGTGCTCTGGCAAGACCCACTTTCTCTGGGGAATATGCGCATGTGGGAGGAATTGGGTTACTGCTCTGCAGTTCACAAATGAAAACTGCTCTGACTAAGTCTCAGGGTAAATAAAAGCAGTGCTTTCCCTATCATAAGCAACTCTAATTTACATATGCAGGCTGTCCTCCCAAAAGACACACCAGTTCAGAAGTGACAGAATGCCATTCTGCTCCACCTTAGTCCAGGAAATGTTTTTGTAAAAATTTGTACTGCCAAATTTTACTTCAGTAGAGAATTCCCTTGGGATATGGGCGTCATCTGATTGAGATGATTAAGGCATCCAAAGAGGCAGGATCATCAAAAGAGAAAAAACATCCCCTGTATTTATTTTAAAAACTAAACGATGACTTCACACTGGCCAGTGTGAAGACATCCAGCTCAGACCAGAAGGCAAAATCTTCTAGGAGGCAGAGTCAAGTGTAGAGTGTTTTGCATGTTTATAAAAATAGTCTGTTACACTCCTGCTCATTCAGTAGATCTGTGAAATCTGGAGAAAAAAATGTTTTCTTTGTAAATGGGGAAAAACATCCGGAGCATAAAGATGCCATTTTTCTGAGAGGGCTTGCACCAATTGAATTCTTGGATCCTAGTACAAATTTTAAATCTTAACCACTTGATTAGCCTCCTGCTTGTAAAAAAAAACCACAGTTGTCTTTCAATGTGCCACCTGAAGAAATATAGCAAGAAGAATAATTCTTTTTCTTTCCCTTTTTTAAAATTAGGAACGCTCAAAACCGGGATTACAATACAATCCTAGTGTCTTGCCCTGACTGCCGGACGTATGTCTTTTGTAGTACTGCATTCACACTCAAGTTGCCTATGCAGCTTCCTTATGACCTTTCAGGGTCCTGTAATTTTCTCACAACATGTAACAGAGGTACATGCTTCTATCTCATAACTACAAAATTTTCATAAAATCATAAAGAAAAAAAATTAAGAAATGCAGCTTATGATTATAGACCACACAAGACACATGTGGACAGCAGTTCCTCATCAGAAACTCTGAGGAAGAAAAGGCTGTGTGTGTCTGGGAAGGGAGGAAGAGAGAGAGAGGAAGTAAGTTATAATAAAAATATTATCAAAAGCCTGATTAAATGATATTACAGCTAGCAAATCCAAACTAAAAATACACAAGTTCTAAACAGTCATTGTGACCAGAGAAAAGGTTTCCTTACAGTAATATCCATAGAGGCAAACACTCTCTAAAAAGGAAACTACCTTTTTGAGTTCCTACCACAGTTTAGACTCCTCAGAAATAGTTACGGAGGAGCAGGGTCTCTCAGCAGTTCTCACAGCAAAAAGGAAATAACACTCCCACAAAAGCAAAATCTAGCAAAGATTAAGTGCAACTCCTCTCCAATATGTCTTAGATAAAAGAAAGTCTAACAAAAAAAGAAGAGTCAGAAACAAGTTTTGAGTGATTACAATACGTTT